GGAGGTGGTTCCCCGATTCAGCACTGGTCCTGGGTAGAGCATCTGGTGGTTGTAACTAGATTTAAAGTACAGTGACATTATCTCTTGATCCTTGAAATAAATTAGAAAATAAATAAAATACACCCATCTCCTTGCTCAGGAGCACACGGGCTTCCTTCAGGAGATGTGGCCTTTAGCACGTTTTGGTGCTGATGTTGGTGGGTCTGAAGGTGGCCTTCAACACCTGAGGGCAGCCCTTGCTCAGGGGGTGGCAAAGCAGGCCCCCGGAGCAGATTACATCATTCAGGCAGGGAGGGGACCGCTGCCCTGCCCCTGTCACGGCGGTGGTGGTGGTGGCGGTGAGCAAGCAGGGCAGGGCCAGGCAGCGGCGGCACGGCAAGGAAGTTCTGTCATGTCTGGCCTTGCCTCGCCCATACAGCAATGGGGTGAGACAGACAGACAGACAGACGGAGAGGAGGGCAGAAGGATATGCTGTCCCACCACGTGCCCCACGGCGGTGGCTGCTGGGCTTCGCTGGGGGCCCCGGGGGGGGTTGGGGTTTTTTTTTATTCCTGATGTTTCTCAGATGGGGACCTCTACAGAAGGTATTGGTCCAGCAGCTAACTAGAAAGACTAACCAGAGCGTGGTCCAAGGTGTCACAGCTGTAGATAGGAAGCTCAGGACTCCACCAGCTCAGCACAACAGCTGAATATCCTCTTCTGCTTCCTCAGATCCACATGGACACGATAGACCTGCCTCCTCCAGGCAGTTGCTCCCAGCACTTACTAACTCCTGACAATACTTCATCCTCTCCAGAAATGAGAGAGAACCTGGCTGAGCAGCCCCAGGAGGTCAGGTCCTCTGAACTTCAGCCTCCCCAGAGCAGCCCATGGAGTCCCCAACCTCCACAAAGCCCCAAGCCCCACCTCCAAGCAGCTCTCACCCACTCTGCCAGAAGAAGCACCCCAATAATTTCTACTCATCTGCACAGACCCTGGCTGATAACCAGTGACACTCTGGCCAAGTCCTTCCCATTGCCACCTGCTTGCCCACTACCAGCCTCTCGCTTCTCCAGAGAACATGAGAATGATGGCGCTTGAACTTGAAATAGTGAGAAAAACCACTGGAAACCAGAGGAGAGAAAAAAGCCACCAGAGTATGGCTCGGTCACTCCTCAGCAACATCCCTCCTCTTCCATCTTGAGGTCAAGCTCAGCCCTCACTGAGCAGAAACACCCTCCTCAAATGTTCTCTACCTTCAAAACATCAATAAAACACTTCTGTGAGCTGGAAACAAGTTCTTGTGCTCCCTTGGGTCTGCTCCTCCCTGTGGCAGAGAATAGCATCTATAGCCCTCAAAAACTAGAGATTTTGGCTGTTCCAGCCTGGTGTGACACAAGTTTCAGAGGCTTAGTGTGAATCTAGAAAAGCCAAGAGCATCACCTTAATTTGGGATTTCACCCAGGCTTCACAGGACAAGCACTGGATGGCCTGAAGATAAAATAAAGAGCACAGATTTGCTTCCTAAACTGAGTATTTTAGCCTCAAAAATGGTAAGAGGCTCCATGTCAAGCTACAGCCCATGCAAGGTCAGCACCATCCCACCACCCAATTCTCTGCTACCTACAGTCCAGCTGAAATACCAGATTTTATCAGCCCAGACCTGCTCAACAGCAATGTTGGCCAAAAAAAACCCCAACCCAAAACCCCAAAAAAAGGTATTTTAGAAAACAAATGCATTAGTGGCAATTATAGTTGAAGAACAAAAAGCCGAAGCTTGACAAACTGCAATTAAAAACCAAACTGGACAGAAGTTGCCAGTTGAGAAGGGATTAGCTCTGACCCAAGTTAATGAGACGTGTGTTTTCCTCTGCTGAGGAAAATAAATCCAGTTTGTGGCTGTGAGATGGTGTGATGGCAGAACTGCCCACTCTGTTAGCACAGGAATCGTCCTGATGTTAAAAACTTGCTTAATTCAGGAATAAAATTGATCCTGGGCTCTGGCAGACAGGACCCATGGAACACCACAGAGTACCCAGACATACGGCAGAGAAACTTCAGCTTCTTTATTTAGCATTTGTGTTTTTCTTCCCAGGAGCCCCAGACTTTTCCATGTGTCCAGCTGAAAGCAGAGAGGATTTTACCCTGACACTGTAAAGAAACACCCTCCAGTCCCCCAGGGCTTTCCAGGAGGACAGCATAGCTCCAATAACATCAGAACCAACAATAATCTTATTTTTTTTTAAGGCCTGGAAAACCAGCAGCATTAAATTCATAGAATCACAGAATGGTTTGGGTGGGGAGGGACCTGAAAGATCATCCAGTCCCAACCCCCCTGCCATCAGCAGGGACACCTTCCACTAGACCAGGTTGTTCAAAGCCTCATCCAGCCTGGCCTTCAACACTTCCAGGGAGGCACAGCCACAGCTTCTCTGGCCAACCTGGGACACTGTCTCACCACCCTCACAACAAAGAATTCCTTCCCAATATCATGGCAGCTGTGGCAATGGAGCAGCAGACATGGGGAGAAACCATCCTCACCGTGGCCATGCACAGCCCACCACATGAATTTCCAAGTTACTTTTCCTTTTCCCTCACCCCAATCCAGCTCATCTGATGAATTAAGGATGAGGCAAATCTTACAAGTGAGACAGATCATCATTGACCCCCCCTCCCCAAAAAAATACGAAGCAATACTCCAAAGAATGCCAAGGTATAAGGGGTACAAATATTCAGACTTTATTATAAATAAGAAATACTGTTTTATACATAAAAACTGCAAGTGTTGCATTTTGTTCACTGCCCCAGACAGCAAGACCACAGATTAAGGCAAAAAGCTGGAGTGAAGGCACGTACTGAGGGGGCCACAGTCAGGAATTAGGTGATGAAGGGACTGTCACGTGTCGCCGGTGACATCCAGCACTCCATCAGCAGCTGTCGCATCATCACATTACGTAAAGAAATAACTGGACTTATACAATGAATAATGGCTGTAAAATGCAGTAGTGATTAAGAGATTGCTTATAAAGAGATTTTTTTTTTTTCATTTAAAAATAAAATTCTGTTAAAAACAGCTTAAGAAGAAAAAAAACAAAACAAAAAAACCAAAACAAAACAAAACAAAAAAAAAAGAGATAAGAAAGCAGGGAACCTTAGGCCTGAGGTCAGCCAGGGCATGCGCGCATCTTCGCATCTGCTCTTCTCACAGCCTTGGCAGAGAGGTGACGCGGTTACAGCCAGCCATCTGCCCAGAGCAGCCGGCCAGAACACGGACCCCCACGTCCCACACAAGTGGGTAAGCACAGGTGAGCTTCTCCTCCAGGTATTAGCTATGTCTGCAGGCAGGGGGAAATCCCAAGCTGGTAAATTGTCAGAATCTCTCAGAGAAGGGGTACCAGAGCGATGCGGGGTTTGCTGGGAACACCCCCCACCCACCCGGCAGCACCGTTCTGGGGGTGCACCAAGCCTCCCGCCTCGCATAGTGGCATCAAGATCCAAATCCACCTCATCAAGATGTCCCCAAATCCACCTCTCCCATCACCTCAACGCTGGGGCCGGTCTCCCAACAGCTCTCCACAGCAAAGCCACGGCCCCTGCGTTCTCCTCCTGGTACAACATCCCCAGGGACAAGGGACACAAAATGGGGTGCTGTGAACATCACCCATCAGGGCTGGCTGTGGAGGGAGGGCTGGAGAGCGGCCACCCGACAGGGAAAGTGGTTATTGCTGATGCCCATACGGGTGCTGAGGAGATGGGAGAGGGAAGAAAGCGAGAAATACCGAGCTCCAAGGGAATAATACGGAGAGAAGCGATCAACGGTGCACGCGCCCCAACGGCGAGAGGGGAAAGCACATAGAGGAGGCCAGGCTGTGCCACTCTGGAAATATGGCTGAGTATATTTACACACACATACGCACACATGAGAGACTTCCTCACACTATAATCATGATTTCTTTAAAAAAAAAAAAAAAGGAAAAAAAAAATAATCACATTCACACAAAAAATATAAATTTGAAATAATTAATAGCACCAGTGTGTGTCAGATAATAATTTCTTCCCCGCTACGCAAACGTACGAAGTTGCATAGTGTTTAAGGATAGATATACTGGATCTCAAGGAGGGGGTGGGGGGGATGCCAGGCTGGAGGCACGGAAGAAGCCACAAAGGATGCTCTCATCTCAGAGGAGGGCTGGAGGAGCTCCCCATCACTCCCACCCAGCACCAGTAAGTAGCTGGGAGGCACTACCTGGGGAGGGAGCCTGCCAGGAAGGTGGTGGTCAGGGTGTGAAAGGCAGAACTGCCACCCAAGCCTGGTCTGAAGTCCCTGTGCTGAGATGGCTTTATGGTGACCAGGAGAAAATTTGCTTTATGGTGACCAGGAGAAAATTTGCTTTATGGTGGGCAAAGAGAAAAGAGGGCACTGGTAACCTCCAGCTCTTTCTGCCAGGTTAAAAACAGGCAAAAGGCAAGAGCAATGCCAGGAGACACAAAAACACACTGTCTTCCTTCGGGAAAAAGATGGGGAGAAAGATCTTTTCATCTCCACTTGCGTGCCCTCCTCCTTGCCCTCCCAAAGACATTCAGCGTGAAGGCCAGTGCAGGTGTCGGAGCTCTCTGGATGGCAGCTCTCCTCTTCAGCAACACTTTTCCTGCTTGAATAAACTAACCTGGCAATCAGACATTCGTAGCCTAAAAAAAAAAAACCAAAAACAAACAAAAAAACAAAAAAAAGATCTTCTGGCAATTCAATAGCAACACCTACAGAGAGGAGAACACAGCTCATGGCTTCCAAACACCCCAACCTGGACTGTACCCAGCAGGTACCTGCTTACAGATCACACCCAAAACATCTCCACAGACCAGGAGCGGGGCTGGCAAGACCTACCAATCCACCAGTAAAAGATCAATCACTCCACCAGTATCCCACCTTCCCAAAGAGCTCCTCTCAGAGGCTGCCTTTTTCTCAGAGCCATGCATGATGACAGAAAGCATTTCAGAAAGAGGCTCCTGCTGATTTATCACAGGCTACCAATGCTGTCGATTGGCCACTAGTTAACGATCAAAAAAGTAATAATAATACAATTCACAGGGTTACGAGCTGGGAAGAGGGATCTGAACGAGTGCAGCTATACTGGCCGTTACAGTAATACTTTGGTAGCCATCCCCTTCCTTCATAGGGACAGAGAGCTCCGGGACCAAGGATTTGACAGTCGAGGGGAGAAGAGAGGAGAGGAAGGAGGGTTAGTTTTGCCTTGCTGTATACAGCTCACATGGTTATTTCTGAACCACAGTATAAAGAGTCCAGAGCATCTCTCTCATCCTTGTGCTAATCAAAGGGAAGCTGTGTCTGAGAAAGGGGCAAGAGTGCTCAGGAAGACAATTTATATAAAAAAAACCCCCTTTGATGCCCAAAGATGGATATTTAATTTGCTTCTCTTTAGGAAAAAAAAATAAAATAAAATAAAAAATTTCAACTTATCCTGATTTGAAAAGAAAACAAGTGGCTGCGAGCAGCGAAGAGTTGGGGATTTGAAGAAGGTAATGTGTGTTTAAGGCACTCCACAGCCAACCCACCGCTCCACGGCTCACCAGGGGAATACCCCCCACCCCCAGCGCACCCTTAGGGTTTCTCAATGGACGGGGTGTTAAAACAGCCAGATGGCAAGGTCTTCTTGATGTCTTCCAGGTTGCTAATGTCCTTCAGGATCTCTTCAATGTCCCTGTTGTAGGCCTGTATCGCATCATCTTGCTTTCTAGCTTCTCTCTCAAGAAAAGACACTTTCTGGTCCAGGTCACTATCTTTCATCTGGTCTTTGGCACTGTTGAGGGTACCCTCAATCTCATTCAGTTTGTTCAAGTCCACTGTCTCCAGTTGCCCTGAAAAGGCAGAAGCCAACAGTGAAGTCCATTAAAAAAATCCTTTGACCTGTTAGTTTTGGGTGCATACACAGCTGAGCCTAAATGGAGATCTCCATTGGGCCACCTCTGCATTACAAACAGCATTTAAAACAGGACCAACCAAACAGGTCACACCTTCCCCACCTCAGCAACAGTCCTCAGCCCACAGAAAAGCAGTACCAAACATTGCACAACAAGCTTTGAGGCCACCCCAGGGGAAAAAACCAAACAAAACTCTTGCTGAAAACATACAAACCCCATTTCTAGAAGCAAACGGACCCATTTGATTGGTGGCAGAGAAGCCAGCACACCACGCCAGCTGCCAGCACAGCCACGTCAGGCAGCAGGAAAACATCTGAAGGCATAAGGCACATGAAGGACAGCCTTACCTAATTGATCCAGCAGCTCGTTAATGACGGCTAGCAAGGTGTTCACAGAGTTCTTTGCTTTTCTTGCGTTGTCTTCTGCCTCCTGGGCAGCTTGCGAGGCCTGTAGGGTATAAAAAATGAGAGTGGGGAAAAAGGCTGTAGGCCCTGGTGAGGCCACATCTGGAATATTGTGTCCAGTTCTAGGCCCCACAGTTCAGGAAGGACAGGGAACTGCTGGAGAGAGTCCAGCACAGAGCCACCAAGATGATGAAGGGAGTGGAGCATCTCCCTGCTGAGGAAAGGCTGAGGGAGCTGGGGCTCTTTAGCTTGTAGAAGAGGAGACTGAGGGGAGACCTCATTAATGTTTACAAATATGTAAAGGGTGAATGTCAGGAGGATGGAGCCAGGCTCTTCTCAGTGATGCCCAATGGTAGGACAAGGGGCAATGGGTGTGAGCTGGAACACAGGAGGTTCTGCTTAAACTTGAGAAGAAACTTCTTTACAGTGAGGGTGACAGAGCCCGGGGACAGGCTGCCCAGGGAGGGAGTGGAGTCTCCTTCTCTGGAGACATTCAAGACCCGCCTGGACACCTTCCTGTGTGATCTCATTTAGGTTCCTGCTCTGGCAGGGGGGTTGGACTGGATGATCTTCCGAGGTCCCTTCCAATCCCCAACATTCTGTGATTCTGTGTGATTAAGAAACTGTTGCTTCTCCTTTTCATAGGTCTGCCCAAGCAGTTAGTCAAAAACATCGCTGGCTCCACTCTCCAGGATAACAGCCCTGCGCTGAGACCTTTATCACAGCACTGGCAAAGACTGACAACCTTCAAATCATCAGTTTTCTGATTATTCCAGAACGGGGATCCCAGAAAACTGAGCAGGATTTTGCAGGAAAAGTCAGAACAGAGTCAATAGGGCTATAGTCAGGTTTCAGTTAATCAAAGGAAAGTGCTGCATTAAGAAAACTCTCAAATTCCAGAGGGGAACTCATGCTAATGCCACCAGCAGAGCTCCTTTGCTCCTCTCATTTTCTCAATCCCACTCAAAACTTGGAAGAGACTGAATGGACCCAGTGCTGGACCCAGTGCTGTCTTTGCAAGAGGACAGCAGGAGAAAAGCTTTCACCTCCAGGACAGCAGGGAGAAGGTAGCTTCTTGGCACTGCTGCCACCTGCCAGTATTACTTACCATGCCTGCCATCATCATATCCTGCTCAGCATCATCCTGCTTCCGCTTCAGCTCTTTTTCAGCATCCTGTAGTTGCTTCATCATATCATCCACCTCTCTGGCCAGCCCTGTCACATCAGTGAAAGTCTTGTCGGCTTCAGCTTTGGTAGCAGCAGCACTCTACAGCCAACAAGGGGAACAAGATGGAAAAAGGTGGTGAAGGTGCAGAACTTCCTTCAATTCTTTTCATCAAAACGCACCAACTTCCTATCATGCCACATTTGGCATTCCCTGGTGGGGAATAAATACAGCAGAAAGCACACAGGGCTCACCAGGAAATACTGGAACAGAGGAGGTTACAGAGTCACGCACCATTATCACGTGGGGTGGCTCCAGAACTGCGAAGGACTCACCTTCTGAACAGAACCGGCGATTTTCTCAGCATCATCTGCTCTGGCCTTGGCCTCACGGGCATCAGCAGCAGCATTGCCAAGCGCCAGCTCTGCCTGGCGAGTCTTATTGTTGGCTTCAGCAATGGTCTGGGTAATGGCAGGGATCTTCTTCAGAGCCTCCTCTGCTGCCGTCTTGTTATCATTCACCCGCTTATCAAAATCTAAGAAAGGGCAAACCAGATCCTAATCACTTGCTCCAAAAGAGTCCTAAGATGCTTCTTTAACCAAGCTACCCAGGCTTTGCCACCCTGACATTAGAGGGATGAAGAGCAAATTGGGGTGTGGGGGTGCATATGCTGGCAGCTCTCCCTATTATGTGTCTTCTGACACTAAATAAGAAACTTAAACAAAAAGGGGATTTCTAGTCACTGAAAACATTTATTTTTTTTAATTTAAAGGAAAAAAAAAAAAAGCCAGAAAACCACATCCAACACTCAGGTACCAGCAATAACAGCCTATTTAACCAAGATCATAGAATCATAGATTATATGAGTTTGGGTTGGAAGGGACCTTAAAGCTCATCCAGTCCCAACCCCCCTGCCAGCAGCAGGGACACCTTCCACTAGACCAGGTTGCTCAAAGCCTCATCCAACCTGGCCTTCAACACTTCCAGGGAGGAGCAGCCACAGCTTCTCTAGCCAACCTGGGACACTGTCTCACCACCCTCACAACAAAGAATTTCTTCCTCAGATCTGATCTCAGTCTCCCCTCTTCCAGTTTCAAGCCATCACCCCTTGTTCTGTCACTCCCTGCCCTTGTCAAAAGTCCCTCTCCAGCCTTCCTGGAGCCCCTTCAGGTACTGGGAGGCCGCTAGAAGGTCTCCCTGGAGCCTTCTCTTCTCCAGGCTGAACAGCCCCAACTCTCTCAGCCTGTCCTCACAGCAGAGGCAGAGCTGCTCCAGCCCTCGCAGCATCCTCGTGGCCTCCTCTGGACTCATTCCAGTAGCTCCATGTCCTTCTTGTGTCAGGGGCCCCAGATACCCTACTGCCAAGTGACTTGTCACACAGGAATGGAAGGATTCACTCTCAGTGCTTTCCCCTTACCTTTCAGGTTGCTGAGAATGGTATTAGCCTCCTGCAGAGTGCCATTGCCCTTCCGAGCAGCTTCTTCAGCCAGGGCTTTCGCTGCATCTGCTCGAGCCAGGAGCTGGTCAGCAGTCTAAGGAGACAGGACATGTATTAACACATTCTTACCTTTTGAAGGACAACCATCTAGGCTTATCAAAAACTATCACTCAGCCTGAAACACCAACGCCATACAGAGCAGTGTTCATCCCTGAGTGGCAAAGCTTCCTCTGAAACCAGGTGAATTTTGGTACTTTTGGAACACTGTTCTGAACACAAAGATGACACTGCACCTGGAAAACATTTCCTACTCTCCCATATAGACTCAATGCCATTGCTTTACCAGCTTTTGGCATCTCCTTTCTGGGATCACTCTTCAGTATTCTGGTCAGTAACAAGCAGTGCTAAGATAAGATTGAATAAGACCAAACCTTTGATATCTGGCCAATTACTTGTTTTTTGTTTGATTTTTTTTCCAGGGAACAAAAGCGTGCACAAAACAGAACTGACCTGCTGCTCCGTCTTCCCTTTCTCCAAGAGGTTCTTTACTTCTAACTCCTTTCCTTTCATGTCTTCTCTCAAGTCCTCGTAATCCTTCAGCTTCCTGGCAATCAGCTGATCTAACTCCTCTGCTTCCTTCTTGATCTTATTTGCTTCATTCTGCAGGTGGCAATCAGAAACAAAAGGCAGATTCCTGAATGTTAAAGAATTTCTGAACAAGTGGCAAAACACAGTATGGTTTCTAATGGTCAAACAGGCAGAAGCTATGATGGGTTCCCATCTCTTCCCATCCATTTACAGTTGTAAATTTGCCCTCAAATCTCTGAATACCATGAGGGTCAATGCAATGAAGGACAGTGGTTGGGAACAGTTTTGTGTGCAAGACAATCTACTGCACTGCACAGGAGAGGGAGCAGTTCTGCAGGCTTCAGTGGGAACTGAAATTCTTGGGCTTCTTTGTTCAAGCCAAGATGTTTGGCAAACAACATTTCCCTTGGTTTTTTGTCCTTCGGAGACTGGGGGAGGTGAGGGTTTATGTATGTAGTTTCCTGCACGCAAGTCTCTTGCAGAAAAGCTGAAGTGGACCAGTCTGGATTGTGCCTAGATGGGACAAAAAATTCCAGTTTCCTCTGTTCTTATTAGGGAAACGTTAGCAGCGCACATGCAAGGGATGTCAGCAACCCAGCACACTGCTATAACGCTTCTCCTCATTGATCTTTGGAAAACACTGCACACGATGCTTCCCACACGTACCTCCAGCCCCGTGGAATCCACAATAGGCAGACTGGTGAGATTAGCATAGATCTGCAGGGCCTTGTTTCCAGCTTCCTCTGCCTCCACAAGCACCTTGTTGGCCTGTCTCTCTAGGTCTCGAGAAATGTTCCTCGCTTGATTATACCTAAAAACCCCAAGGATCCAGTTACACTACAATTTATTTTTTTTTTTGAAGAACTGAACCTACTAAGAGAGTAGAGAGGCTGAGACATTGGCTACAGCTCCCATAAAAGCACACAATGCTACAGAAAGTGTTATTGTTTTAAGCACTGCTCTAAAGCCAGGAAATAAAAATCATTTTCTGTTACTGACTCACTTCTGGTTGAGCTCATCAATGTCGTTTGCAGTTTGGTTTTCTCCAGCCAGGGTCTTCAACAGCAGTTGATATGCTTCTGTGGAAGTATCATTTGCTGCCTTGGCTATGCGAACAATCTCATCAGCTTCTTTTTTATGTCTGGACAAGATTACAGGAGAAAAAATAACGCCATTAGAATTGTCAGTCAGTGGTTTCTATCCTCAATTCTAGATTTTATTCTCTCTTACTTCTCCTTCCTTCACCCAGATCTGCATATGGAAGATGCTGAAACATATGCCATGGAAGATGCTGCTTGAGACCATCTCTGCAACCAAGGCATCACTCCAGCAGCACCCACAAGATGAGCTGAAAGGCGCCACTACGGTTGTACGTGTCCCTCCTTCTCACCTCTAGAGTTTGCCCTCAGTGGCACACAGGCACAAACCCACAGTGCCAGTCTCTTACTCAGCTAAGGGCACATGTTTCATATAAAACAAATTAAATTTTGCTTCCCCCTTGTAGGGAAGAGCAGGGCCCTGCTGTGGGCTGTGAGAGTGTCCCCTGACACAGCCTACCTTTCAGCCAGTTTACGGGCCTCCTCTGCCAACAGAGTCATGTTGTTCGGGTCCCCGCTTGACTCCGGAGGGGTAATGGACTGGAAAAAAAGAAAGAAAAAAATTTTGAGCCTCTTTTTTAATCTTTTATTTATCTATACTTTAAATATTTATTGTCATGCTTAGAGATGTGTCTAACCTACTTCTGACACCCCTATGTTTTTTTCTTAAGCCCATGCAGTTTCCACCACAGGTTATCACTTAAAAACAAAGGTGCTGTTATTTATTTAGGGGTTCTTCCAGTTGGTTTCTTTGAGCAGGGGCTAAGACACAACCTATGACAGACACTGGTGATCTTCCTTTATTTAATTACGATGACCTTGGGTAGGGAGAAGGTATTTCCATAGCAAATTTGCTACATGAGAGAGAGAACAAGCAGAGAAACACACCAGAGGGTACAGAAAGGAAAGGTTCTCTCCTCTCCTAACCATGTGGGATCTTGGCAGCACACTCACCACGTTGTCAGCTGCCATCTTTGCCTTCTCAAGCATATTGGAAGCCAAGCTGATCAGGTCCTCAGTGTCCTCCACTCGCACCCGTGCTTGCTCTGCCAGGTTCTCCGTCTCCCGCACTGTGCCCTGGATGTTCCTCAGCCTGTTAAGCTGACTTGCTAGTGTGCTGTTGATGTCTTTGAGACGATCCATGAAGCCCTGATCTACGTCTGAGACACATAATATAAAAGAGAGGAAGTAAAATTAATTACAGCAGGAAGAGAAGCTGGAGCAGCAGCTTACCACTGCAGGCAACACATTGGTAGGTTAATCCCCTATTGAAAGGGGACCAGCAAAGCCATTTCATAAGTCAGTCACCTTGAGATCAAAGTCATCATCAGAATGTGCATCAAACACAAGAAATGAAAAGTCATTAGCTACTAATACGACAATCCTGCTGGGTGTTGGAACAGAGTCTAATGGGGGATTTTGTGTTCAGAATCACGTCTCACCTCTACCACTGACTTAAAGACAATGGAGCTGCTCCTCAAGAGGTAAGAAACATCTGCTTTGTGAATTCTCTTTAGCTTAACTCTTCAAAGGTAAGCAGAGATGGAGGAATAGTGGGGCTGTATGTTATTCCTTGCTTTGGGCAATTTTTTCCCAGCTTCATGCAAAGGGGACAGATTTTTCCAAAGTGGTCTGAATCAATGAAGCAACTCCCAGGGGAACATCTTTAACTGTGAAGTTAATGGTCTTCTTCAAATTGCTCTTCTCCAAAACACACAGCAGCTTATACATTAAAAAGACCTCAAGGACAAACCACTGTCACAATGCTTAACGTCCTGCTCATTAAGAGCAAGTAGAGGTGACAGTAGAGGTGACAGTAGAGGAATGGATGTGAAGTAGAGTTTGCAGGAAAACGAGCTATAGGCCACCACAATAGCACTTTTCATAACATTATGCACTTTATGGTGGGATAATTAAGCTTCCAAGCAGGATTTTGAAGCTTTTATTCTTATCACTGATGATATCCCAACAAGAACTAATTTATCCCAAGACGTCTGAGAAAATTTATAAGCATAGTAAGTAAGTAGATTAGAAAGTCTTCTGCTTGTTTAAGAAGTAAAAATCTCTTTTGTATCTGGAGAAGGGGTAACACATAAAACACTTGCTTCTATACAGAGCTAGAGGCAGATCTTTACTTCACGTGTACAACAGAGACCACTGGGAGAACAGCAGGGATAAAAGCACAGCCACTGCTGTTTTGATAACAACACACACTGACTCAGGGCTATCTGAAATAGCTGTCTGTCCTGATGCACAGCACAGCCAAGAGCTCATTTCACGTTGGTCCATGTCTGATCAGGTCAACTCACCTTTGCTCTTTTGTGCTTCTTGGAGCAACTCCATAACATCTCTTTCTGCTTGCTTCAACCTCTCTTCAAAGGCTTGATCGGTTATAGTGTCTTCTCCCGTACCCAGATTGGCTATAAGATCTTCCAGTTCCTGCAACCTCTCTCGTTGCTCTGCCACCTATGCAAGAGGGACAGAGCACAGCTACAACACAGAGCAAAGCACCTTCAACCTCTCTGCTTTCAACAAGCATCAAGCCAGCCACGGGCGTAAAAGCCACTGCACAAGTGGGCATGTGCCACCAGCTCCAGCGGCACCAACAGTGGTGTTTGTGGCCGTACCTTATCTTTCACTAATCTGTAACAGGCTGGACACTCTTGGCAGCCTGGCCAGGAGCGGTTGTAGAAATAGTTCTCTTCACATTGGTCGCAGCGGGTCCCCACGAAGCCTTCCTTGCACTCGCAGCGACCGTCCTCCCGGCACTGCAGGGAGCGCGAGCCCTCGGGATCACAGTCGCAGGCTGCGGGGAAGTTAAACCTCAGTCAGACTGGAGCAGCAGAAATACCCTATATCCCGCAGTGTCAGAGCATGCCCTCAGTACCCTAAAATGTCTGCAAGAGCAATGGGGCACAGACCCACAGCTGGAGCCCCACTCCTGACCAGGGTGCTTCTACACACAGCGGGGCACTCTGTCCAGCTGCTCACAACATGAATTGCGTGTGTCCACAGTGTTGCTATTGCCTCTCCCACAAAGTGTTATAATTTCCTACCCCATTTCACTGTAACCAACTGCAGTTTGATTTTCTGCTCTTTACAAGCAGGGATATCGAGGGGGAAAGTTTGGATCATCCTGTTTTTCAATCATGTTTCCAAGATCTGTTGCTCCTCAAGACAGAACGTGTCTATTCAGGCCATTTGCAAAGTAGCTGTGCAGAGATTTAACATTAGGAAAAAGGAGTGTTGCAGGGGCAAGATCCAGAGAACATAAGGGAGGTGACTCTCCTGCTCTACTCTGCTCTTGTGAGACATCACCTGGAGCAACTGTGTCCATTTCTGGGGCCCCTGACACAGGAAGGACATGGACCTACTGGAGCGAGTCCAGAGGAGGCCACGAGGATGTTGCGAGGGCTGGAGCAGCTCTGCTGTGAGGACAGGCTGAGAGAGTTGGGGCTGTTCAGCCTGGAGAAGAGAAGGCTCCAGGGAGACCTTCTAGTGGCCTCCCAGTACCTGAAGGGGCTCCAGGAAGGCTGGGGAGGGACTCTGGACAAGGGCAGGGAGTGACAGGACAAGGGGTGATGGCTTGAAACTGGAAGAGGGGAGACTGAGATCAGATCTGAGGAAGAAATTCTTTGGTGTGAGGGTGGTGAGACAGTGTCCCAGGTTGGCCAGAGAAGCTGTGGCTGCTCCTCCCTGGAAGTGTTGAAGGCCAGGTTGGATGAGGCTTTGAGCAACCTGGTCTAGTGGAAGGTGTCCCTGCTGCTGGCAGGGGGGGTTGGAACTGGATGAATTTTAAGGTCCCTTCCAACCCAAACCACCCTGGGATTCTATTTACCCCAGAGAAGTGGATATCTAATACATTGAAGTTCTTCCTACCCCTAATTTAAAAAAATAAGAAAAAGGGGAGAAGCTATGGTACAGAGATCAACTTTCACCATGCAGAGTGTGGTCAGAAAAGTGCCAACTTCTGCTGTGATGAAGAGTGAGGTGAGAAAGTACCATCCTAGAGACAGGAGGAAAGCAAAGGCAAGGCTGGCTGTGGGACACCTCTCCTGTCTCCCTCGCTCCAGCCTCTCAGACTTACGTTTACAGCCTTCGGAGCCAAAGCCAAAGTGGTTGACCTCGCATCTGTCACATCGCTGGCCGGCGACGCCAGGCTGGCACTCACACTGCCCAGTTTGGATGTCGCACTGGCCGTTGGTGGAGCCCAGCGCGTGGCAGTTGCACCTGGGGGAGGAAGCCACACGTCAGGAGGTGACACAGAGGGAGGCACAGGTGAAGACCCTCTCCGAAGGAGCCCTAATGAGCACAGCTCAATGCTTCCATTTGCCAAAAGTCACTTTTCATGCTGTGCAGATGCAGGAGATGAGGCACGGAGCCTTTGAACCATGCAAGGTCACTTGGTGCCTGCACTAAAAAAGGAAGCCATGAGCCCCTGCTACCAACAATCACACAGTCACGTGGCATTTTTCTATTTAAAACCCTGATTTAAAGCTATTTATAAAGCTATTTATAAGTCAGGCATTTTGTCCAGCCTTCATAGCTGCTCCTTGACTGCTGCTCCTCCCCAACCATAGCAGCACTGAGGCACAGCAGTTACTGGTGACAAACATCACATTCGTGCACAAGGTAAGTACAGACTCCCCAAAACCAGGCTCTTTGCCCCAAGCCAAGGTGAACATCACCTCTCACAGCCACGTCCGCTCTGAAGGTTGAAGAAGCCAGGCTCACAGGTACTGCAGTCCCGCCCGGTGACGTGAGACAGGCACTCGCACTGCCCCGTCACTTGATTGCAACTTGTCTGCTGATTCACAGTGCCGTAGGGATTGCAGTGACAAGCTGCAAAAATAAAAGGGGTGGGGAAATATGCAAAAAAAGTTAAGAGTCCCTTGTGGTGTTGGTACTCTGCTAGCGGGTCCCTGAACGGGCCTGGATCCAAACCACGTGGCAGCCCAGCCCCTGCATCACACAATGCTTTTGCTTTGGTGGCAGTAAGTGCCCACAAACACAAGCACTTTAGCAAACTACAACCACCAAACCAGGATAAAGCCACACATTGCTGCTGAAGGGCAGGAACAACAGCCTGATGTTAGAATCATAGAATGGTTTGGATTGGAAGGGCCCTTAAAGATCATCCAGTCCCAACCCCCCTGCCAGCAGCAGGGACACCTTCCACTAGACCAGGTTGCTCAAAGCCTCATCCAACCTGGCCTTGAACACTTCCAGGGAGGAGCAGCTACAACTTCCTTAGGCAACCTGTTCCAGTGTCTGACCACCCTCACAGTGAAGAACTTCTTCCTAATATCTCATCTAAACCTCCCCTCTTTCAGCTTAAACCCATTTCCCCTTGTTCTGTCATTAACTGCCCTTATGAAAAGTCCCTCCCCAGCTTTCTTGTAGCCCCTTCAGGTACTGGGAGGCTGCTATAAGATCTCCTCGGAGCCTTCTCTTCTCCAGGCTGAACAGCCCTAACTCTTTCAGCCCGTCTTCATAGCAGAGCTGCTCCAGCCCTTGGATCACAACACACATGTTGTGTCCTAACAACACATCAAGGAACTGCAGCTCTCGGGGACAAAACCATTTTCAAACATTAAGAGGAACCGGCTCTCACCTCTGCACTTCTCAGCAGGGTCG